GGAGTGCTCTCGGGGAAATAAGAGGGCATCACTGTGGGGCCTGGCTGGCCACCATCTGGTCTCCATTAGTCTTTTGGAATATCTCACACCCAAACATTGGAGTCGCTAAATGACTGTATTGTCAGAACTATGTTTGCCATATTTTCTGGAGAAATAAAAATGAAATCCTACACCTAGTATTTTTCTCCCCTAATTGTCTTCTCTTTTTCATTTAGTAGTGTTTTGGTCCACTTGGGATTCATCCTCTTTAGTGCATACCTTCTAGCTTTCTTAACTAACACTTACTCCAATAGGACTAACTCTGGACTACCTACTAGCTGGCCAAGAAGTTCCTCAATCCATAACACCCCTGAGGCATAGATATCCTAATTGACATAACAAACTCTGATGGAAAAAGGTATACAATCTACCAATACTGAACTTTCTGTCTTTTCACACTAATCATCTCTTGAGTGGTATGTAAACAAGGGAAATGTAGAATGCCTATTCTTTATACTTTAAAAACATGTCTGGAACTATTTGAACTAACTAAAAGTAAAATAAGTGTCAGGGTAGATTATGACATACCTTTTCCCTTTTACTTAAAAAAAAAAAGAAAAAAAAGGAAATGGAAAACATACCACTTCTAGAAGACCCTGACATTGAAATGGTATCCGTAATGTATTTATATATGCCACACTTTCTTCTATGCATCGGCCATCTTTAGTACATATGTGTTGGATAGATGCCATATGGGTTGAAATAACCACATATGGAAAACCTTGTTTAGAAGTGGTGTGAATCATTAAGGTAAAAGTGAAGTCAGTTCTTTTGATTATACATACTTGCCGATCTGATAGAAATTGTTTTTCTTTTATCATTTGATAAAGAGATTATTAGCTTGAGGAAAAAAACGTGTAAAATTTCAAGAGAAGAAAATACTTAGTAGAAAACAATCCTTCCATAAATGTCAGCATTCTCCTACAGCAACCAAAAATAGAAATTACGTACAAGAACAATATACTTTCATTCACTTAAAAACGACACACGAAACATTACAACAATATTGGTTTTAGTATATCTTCTAATTTGAAATGGAGTGAAATGCTTCTGTGGTTAAATCAGCTTTTTTTTTTACTGTTTGCTATAAAAATTACAAGCATATATATTTCAGAATGTTCTTTTAATTCAAAACAAATGCAACAGAACTCAGCATACTTGAAACACATTTTCTGAATTTATTTGAAATCTTTTGACTCCAGAGAGTTCTGTGTGTGTGTAAGGGTTAGGCCTGACTGGTTATTTCACCATCTATCTCCATCCTGGCCTGATTGCACCGAACAGCCCGGAATGAGTTCCATATGCTCCCACTTTGTCTAAGTTTGTAGGACCTCTGGGTTGGAACTCCATTTGATCAGAGTAAAGCGAACCATCTCAGAAATGTGGCTCATGTCAAATGCTTAGAGCTGCACATGGATTCCGGTTCGGATGCATACGCTCCCGTTAGAAGTTGTGGCGACTGGCTATGCATTGGTTTACTTGTTATTGTTCCTACAATATGGATGGCATTTCAAGAATTTAAAATCATTTGCCTACCTTTGATGACAATGATGATCTCCTGGAGAGAGTTATGTTGCAAATACGGACCAAGACACATCATCAAAACGTTTTCAAATAAAAATTATGATATATCAATTTTTTCCTAACACCGGACAGATGAATTCAGAATGACAAAGATTCTCTAATGTTTGGAAAGGAAACCCACTGTCATCTTTGTAGTTTATTTCTCTTTTTTTCTTATTAAAAAAATAAAAAATATGGGTTTAAGGTATGTTTTCAAGTGTAGGCATTGCTCAAGAATCAGGTCAAGTTAAGTAAGGTGGGGTGTGCGTCCTCTAAGGCCCGGCTTTTAACTCCGGAGGTAAACGAAGCTGTCCAGGCCACGTTTCTCCCTCTTTGGGCTCTTACCTCCCTGTTTGGGTCTTCCCTCTCTTTCTTCTCCTTTCCTTTCACTACTGGACTTTTTCATTATTCCCGCTCCCCCACCCCCCTCCTCCTGCTCCTCCTCTCTCCGGCTGTGCTTCCCTTGTGTGTCTGGCCTGGCTTCTCTAACAGTTCAGCGTGAGTGTTAGCAGAATGAAAACCAGATGGACCAGCAGTTCCCACTGTTATCTCCCAGCTGACTCTGGCCGGCCCCCCTTATCCCTCCTTCCTGGGCATAGCAGGAATAGTTGCCTTTATTTAGGGTGACTGTTTGCTGCTGCACCTTTTCCCTCAGCTGCAACATAAGCAGGAAGCTGTGTAGTCCCTGTGGCTGAGGTTGGTTGAGGTGAGTAGGCTGTGTAATGAATTTAGTAAAGAAGTGGTTCTAAACCTGCCTAGCTTCTGTATTGTTCTAGAATAATTGATTTACTGAGCCTTTTCCTGCTTGTTTGTGGATCGTCATCTCAGGATGGTTTTTTCTATTGATTTTTAGAGAGTGAAAGGGAGGGAGAGAGAGAGAGAGAGAGAGAGAGAGAGAAGAGAGAGGAGAGAGAAACATCCATGTGAGAGGGATACATCAATTGGTTTCCTCCCCCATGTGCCCTGACTGGGGCCAGGTAGGAAACCTGTAACCTAGGTACATGCCCTTAACCTAACTGAGAATGGGACCCACAACCGTCCGGGGGGTGCGCAGGCCATCACTCTAACCACGGAGCACCACCAGCTAGGGTTACTGATATTGGTTTTTAAATAATGTGGAAAAGCAAAATGAAGGCTATTTTTAGCAGTAAGAGAAAGGTGGGTGTCTTTGCCATCACCTCACTCAGAGCACTCATTCACTACAGCAACGTTCACCGTTACTCAACCAGAGGCCCTGATACTACTAACCAGATAGCTCCTCTGTCAGAGGGCTCTTCTGAGAACGATGAAGAGGAGGGTGATGATGATGATGATGATGATGATGATGGTCTTTCTTTTATTACACCTCCCCCAGCATGGCATTAACATAATTTCAACATTTGAATATTATGTCCTATGGCAACTCAAGTCTTAGGAATCTGCTGTGAATAAAGGGGAGGTAGCTTTAGAATGGTCAGAGTAGTAATTTGGGCTTTTCATTTTCTTTTAATAATTGACTTTTCAGTTATTTTGAGTCATTAAGTTTGTACCCATATGGTTATAATATTTTTAAAGACCCGTTCTTTACCAATAGTCTGTGTTATTTTACTTTTCAAAAACTCATAGAGTGCGAAATATCTGTATCTAAGGCTGAAAAAGGTGCCTTAAGCATTAACCGTGTTTGTATGTATGTGTGTGTACGTGTGTGTATGTGTGTGAGTGTGTGTGTGTGTGTGTGTGTGTGAACATCTCTACACATGTTTGAGGAAAATTGGATCTAAAGAAACAAACAGAAACTTCTATACATATATTTTTTTTACTGGAGATTTGATAGAGAGATTAGACTAAGGAAGGAAAGTTTAACATTTCAAGAGAAGAGTATACTTAGTAGAAAACAGGCCTGAGCAAATGTTCATTATTGGGTAATCAGAAAACTTCTCCATATCTGTCACCTGCTCATGAAAAACATATGGAAGGTCTTTAGTTCTTTTTAATTCTCAATGTGGGACTTTTTTATTCTTACTCTACCTGAGATTGTTAATTGAAATATTGGCCTCATGTTTTTGAAGCAGTGGGTCGTAAACTCACAAAGCCTAAGTAAATAACAGCGGAACTTCGTTGTGTGACATATGCCGTTGAGGGAGCGGTGATTTTTCAAACAGGGCAGAAGACATTGACGTGAGATCTGTGTTGTGGAGACATACTCTGCGTCATCCAACAGGCCGGGAAACTCAGTATGGAAAGGGGGTGAGCGGTGTTATGAACATCGCTGGCTCCTACCAGTATTTCATCTACATAACAGAACTGTATATGGGTGTTATTTCGAAGCGGTGGGAGGGGTTCATTGCTGTCTTCCTCATCTATTTTTTATCTCTTGTGAATGCTGGCTCCTGCCTTGAGTGAAGTTGTGCTCTTGTTTATAACACTAACAAGGGAGCATTTGCCCACCCTAGAAATAACGATAGGACGTAAAGTCACCCAGTTACAAACGAGGCCCTGTCATCTGTGCCGCACCCCCCCACGTCAGTGGGGTCTGGATGATAAAGTCCTGATTTCAGCGTCAGTAGATGAGCCTTGTTTGGTGGATAGAAGATGACGGGTCTCTTGCGTTTACTCGCTTGTAAAAACGGTGACTCCCCCGCTTAGAACACTGAGGTGCTTGAGAAAGTAACATGTTCCCGGTGGCACCCTCCAGATCGGACTGAGAAACACTCCACGATGCCAGACTCACCTGTGGATGTGAAGACTCCGTCCAGGCTGACTCCTCCCATGATGCCACCTCCCCCGACAACTCAAGGAGCCCCGAGAACCAGCTCATTCACACCAACAACGTGTGAGTAGGCATTTTCATTTTGAAGTTTGAAAGTTTTTCTGCAAGTAAAACTTAAAAGAAGATCCTGCATCAATGAATTATGCAGACATGAAGCAAAAAAAAAAAAATCATTTATTTTCCAGGGAGGTATTGAGTACAGATGTGTTGTATCATAGGTATAATTTGTAGGGATGGCACTATTTGCCTGTCTTTTGTGCTTGCTTCAGAAATGTATTTTACTAACATCTCCGCGAGTGAAGAACACTACGTTTGGTCTGTAACTCGAGATGTTACCGCTGTAACTTTTAATTTGACTTAATGTGGAGCTTCTTATTGTAGTCTGTTCATTTTGACTTGGAACATGTAATCATTCAGGTTACATCTGATCTTCTAATACTGTTTTCTTCTATTATTTACAGATCATTTTAAAATCTAACATTTTTAGGATTTATGTTTAAAATGTAATGTTTAGAAACACACACAAAATGACTTTATGCAACAGTTGTATACAGAAATCTTTCTGAAATAAGGATAAGGAGCATCTTTCTTGTCCTGAAACTGTCAGGCTTTTTTTTTTTTTAAAACATAGTTTTATTAATTTCAGAGAAGAAGGGAGAGGGAGAGAGCAAGAAACATCAATGATGAGAGAGAATCATTGATCAGCTGCCTCCTGCACGCCCCACATTGGGGATTGAGCCCACAACCCAGGCATGTGCCCTTCACTGGGATCGAACCCGGGACCCTTCAGTCCACAGACTGACGCTCTATCCACTATGCCAAACCAGCCAGTGCATGGAACTGTCAGACTACATTCCATCTTGGCTCAGGTCCCCTGTTCTGAATCAGTGGAGTGTACTGCTTCCTGTGTCATGCAGGAAAGGACGGAACATTCTGACAGAATCCCAGCTTTCCTCTCTTTCGTGTATATTGTAGTCGGGATAGCAGGTAGCTATGTTTTCATCTGTCTCAAAGTCTTGGTTAAAATTGTTCTCAAGGATTTGTGAAAACACACACACACGCACACACACACACACACACACACAACTATCTATTGAAGATAATAGTATGGATAGACAATGTGCCATTAAATCTACACGCATAAAAAATAACAGGCAAGAATAGATTCATGGAATTGAAAGGGATGGACAGGCCTTTCCAAACGTGTAAGGAGCAGGAGGCCGCAGCAGTGCCAAGTTGTAACCCTGTCACCCTGTATTTGTTTTGTTGTTATCCAAAACCATAGTGATAGGCATATGTCTCCCGTGAGAAGTCCTAGTGAGCTGTCATTTCTTGACAGGTTGCTTTGGTACTCATGTGGGACAAGAGACCTTTTTTTTTTTTAAAGAATAATAGAGTACTTAAAATATCTTCAAACTATTGTTGGGAATAGTTTATCAAAATTATATTTAAAAATGTGTTTGGGAAAAAATCAGTTTGTCAAATTAATTGACTTAACGTAAAATCAACATTTTCCTTAGGGAGAAATGTGCAAATCTTTCTAGCCTCCAAGTTATCGATGATCATCTTGATGTTCAAGTAAATATGATCAGAAATGAATTTACCGGATTACCGCCAACTGTTATTAATGGGATAGATATGTACCTTTTGGATTTCTTGAAATAACTCCCTGATAGTTATCATATCTATTTTGGCTTTTCCCTAAAGAAGGGGTTAAGAAATATGAGGGGAAGAAAATAGCCTTCTAATTGGGTGGTTGTAAGGTTAAAGCTTGAAAGTCTAATTTTTATAAACATAGCTGTCAGCTTGTGTGTATAAAACATGATTAAAAATGTCCCGTGATAAATTTAGTCTCCACCAAATGTACACGTTCTCTAGGAGGGGAGCAGCTGAGCAAGAAATAGTCCTGCTACATTGATGTAAGCTGGTGACCAAAGGCTGACACCCAAGTGTTGTTTGTTCTGTGTTGGAAACATTTCAGGTGGTTGGCATATGTGCACATGGGCGGCAGGGCTGTCTCTGTGCTACAGCCGACTCCGTTTATAATCAGCTTCTGTGCAGAAAACTCTTGTGCAGGGTGAGGAGTAGACCCATTTAATTATAGAATACCTGAGCCGGTGTGAGCCTGTGAAGTCAAAGCATTTTACAGAAAAGCTCCAACAGTCTTTTTGTTTGTTTTTAACATTTTTATTGATTTCAGAGAGGAAGGGAGAGGGAGAGAGAGAAACATCAGCGATGAGAGAGAATCATTGATCAGCTGCCTCCTGCACGCCCCCTCCTGGGGCTGGAGCCCACAACCTGGGCATGTGCCCTGAAGGGGAATCAAACTGTGACCTCCTGGTTCATAGCTCAAAGCTCAACCACTGAGCCACGCCCAACCACTGAGCCACCCCGGCGGGGCTGTATTTATTTTTAACTTTAAATAATTTCTTTTAAAATTTTTTCAATTACAACGTAGGGGATGTAGTCAGTAATATTGCAGTAACTTTGTATGGTGTCAGATGGGCACTAGTTTTACTGGGGGTGATCATTTTATAAGTTATATAATGTCTGATCACTGGGTTCTACACCTGAAATGAATATAATATTGTATCTAGCAGTTTTTTTAAAAAAAAAATTCACTAGACTTAAAGGGAAGGGGACTTGGTTGTAATTTTCTTGTGCATTTCTCTATACGTTTACCTTTTCTCTCTGATTTTGTGCTCTTGACAGTAACTAATGGCACAAGCCATTCACCCACAGCCTTGAACGGTGCCCCCTCGCCGCCCAATGGCTTTAGCAATGGGCCTTCCTCTTCTTCCTCTTCCTCTCTGGCTAATCAACAGCTGCCCCCAGCCTGTGGCGCCAGGCAACTCAGTAAACTGAAACGGTTCCTTACTACCCTGCAGCAGTTTGGCAATGACATTTCACCAGAGATAGGAGAGAGAGTCCGCACCCTCGTCCTAGGACTGGTGGTAAGCAAACAGAAACCGGCCCAATTTTCTGGGGTAAGGGAGAGTGCGTGGGGGGGTGAAAAATATAGTCTCCTTTCTCGCGGGTATTTTATTCTAGTCGTTTTTACTGCTGGAGATTGGGTCCAAGTCTGATCATTCTATAACAAGGTTTTAAATTCTGCATTGCGTGTTGACCCCCCATCCCCACCATGGTTTCTATTACTATTTGACTAATGAAGATATGGCTATATGCATATTTATTGCTATCTTGGCCATACATGTGTAGTGTGTCTAAAATTCCATAAGTATATCCCCCTGTCATAGCTAGTGCCTTTCAACAGTGACAAAATGTTTTGGGTACGTGAATGATTCACTTCACGTAGTTCAGTGCTCTTTTTAACTTCATTGCTTTAGGGGACTTTTATTAGCCTAGATCGGTGGTTGGCAAACCGCGGCTCGCGAGCCACATGCAGCTCTTTGGTCCCTCTAGTGTGGCTCTTCCACAAAATACCACGTGGGGGCGAGCACGTACAGTGCGACTGAAACTTCATAGCCCATGCGCAGAAGTCGGTATTTTGTGGAAGAGCCAGTATTATGTGGAAGAGCCACACTCAACGGGCCAAAGAGCCGCATGTGGCTCGCGAGCTGCGGTTTGCTGAGCCGCAGTTTGCCGACCACTGGCCTAGATGATGAACTAGAATCTATAACAAATAACATTCTCCTTGTATGTGTTTTCATTTTTAGGGCTAATCACATTAAGAATTGTTTATTGTGGTAAGATATATAAAACCTAAAATTTATCATTTTAAGGATTTCTAAGTATATGTACAGTTTGATGGCATTAAACACATTCACTGTTGTGTAACCATCAGCACCATTCATCTCCAGAACTTTTTCATCACCCCAGACTGAACCTATGTCCCCATAAAACAAGAACACCCCAAATTTATCTCCCCTCAACTCCTACACCATTAATTGGTTTTTGAATAAAAACAATTTTTTTTGGTGTAGGTAGAATTACTTAAATGATTCGTTTGAGAATAGGAGTGTTGACTAAGGAACATTATAGTATATTCTGTGCATTATCACTCTAGACATGAGAACAGACATCCTTTTTTAGAGTCCTAGATCACTTTTGCATGTCCATGATTTCATATACACATGGAGGGTTTCCATTTAGGAAGGTGATTTTCCCATAGCAGACGGAATCACGGACAAGTTATGAGTCACAGCGTCAGTTCTTTCAGTGTCCAGGCTAATCGTGGAACTGAGATTCAGACGATCAGCAGCAGTTTCCTTTTTCTTGAAATAGATCATTTATTTTTATTGCGTGGATTTACCAAGGGCAAAGACATACCGGTTGTGTTTTGTCAGAGAAGCTCCCAAATGAAGAGTCTGGCTGAGAGTCTAAGGCGGTAGACACGCTTCACATCACGGCCTCTCACATTGCCAGAGATGTTGCAATTCAACGTTTTTTTTCTTCTTTTTTTTTAAAGTATGTGGAACTTTTCAGTGCCGTCTCCCTCTCCTCTGCACTGTAAGAACAACAGCTTGCACATTCCCCACAGTCCATCAGCTTCACCTTGTCCCCCTCAGGACAGGAAGGCGAATTTGACAGAAGAATGTCAGCCTCCTGCAGTTACTTCTGTCACTCACTTATCTTTTCCTTTCATTCATTGTCACGTTTTGCATAATAGGCTTTTCAACACCTAAATAAATTAGATGGAAGAACCACAAAGTAAAGTCAAAACAGTGATTGTATTAAGAAAACGGTAAATGTGTTGTTACTAGGAGACGTTTCTTCTGGCAACTGCTTTATAAATTGGATATGTCTTTAACAGCAGTTTCCATAACTTTAAATGTATCAAAAATTTGGTAGCCGTCAGTAGATTTTTCCACATCTTAAGTGGCATACTTTGAAGATACGTTTTATTTATCTGAAGACCTTATGGAGATAAGTGAGGGGGAAGCATTAATTAATAGTGCTGTGTACATGAGAGGCAGGCAGTGAACATTTGTCAAATGAGCGAATGACTAGATGATGCATTTTGTTTTGGGCATTGAACACAAGCCGTTTTATTTAAATCTTGGGACCACCCTTAGAAGTTGTGATTTTTATACACATTTTATATGTGGGGAGACTGAGGTTTGCAGAAGGAAAATATACATTGTGATAGGCCTATGATTTGCACTCAGGTAGTAAATCATAATGAATCTCATTTTGCTGTTATTTAGACAGTTAAGAAAAAATATTAGTAACTGTTTTAATGTGCAAAACATAACCAGAATGGCTTTTGGGAAAATGAGCCATAGAAACAAAATGGGGGGGGGAGGGGTAGTAAAAGGTAAAGGGGGCCAAATATGTAGTAATGGGAGATGATTTGACTTTGGCTATTGGGCACACAATGCAGTGTACAGATCTTGCATCATGAAAATGTATACTTGAACCTCAATAGTGCAGCACACCACCCAACATAGCTGTTCATTCTGAGCAAGGATGCTTTGGTAGACATAGGAAGAATGGGAGGATGGAAGGGCGGGAGAAGAATATTTCTACCAGCAGAAATACAGACATGACCTGTGGGGTGAATTGAGATTCTGACACTTGCCTTTGGCCCACTATGCGATCAGTTGTGCTTTTAAATGAAGAGTTTTCCATACAGGGTAATATTAAAAGGTTCTTCATGATTTTAGAGACAAAATTCTCTGACAAAAGTATGCACATTATTCTCAAAGTACCATATTTATGGTCTTTCATTTTCAGATGTTATTTTAAAAGGAGGGTGATACAGTGAATTATAATATGCAGTATTTTTTTTTACATAGTCAACGGTATTATATTGAAAATACTGCTTCCTGTATGTGTGTGTCTGCTGGTTATTACAGTGTTTTAACCGTATTGGTAATTTAGTAATCTCATTGTTTTTACTGTCTATCAAGAGACAAATGTGTTTATAATACATATTTTCTTCCACAGAACTCTACTTTGACAATTGAAGAATTTCATTCCAAACTGCAAGAAGCTACTAACTTCCCACTGCGACCTTTCGTCATCCCGTTCTTGAAGGTATTGTACAGCTCACTTGTCTGGAAAGTATTTCAGAGCATATTGTCGCTAGGTCACAATAGTGTTTGTTTGTTTTTTGGAGTGGAGGGTTGTCAGAAATTTAAGGGTGCTTTCACTTAGTTTACTGGGTGAAAACTATCTGAATACATATGGTTTTCTGATCATTTCTAAAGCAGTCTTAAAAGGATAATTCAGAGTGTTTTGAATAGTTAAGTTGGGAGAACAATTGAGAAATCTCTTTGAATAAAGGTTTTGTTTGTTTATTTGTTTGTTTGTTTTGGTCCTTTGAGTTACATTTTACATTTTGCTTGTCTTGAGAATGAATGTAAGATTGGTTCTTCCTTTTTAGTTTTTCAGAGTCTTAAAAATCCATCTGATTTATTTTTGCAACAACCTAATGCAATAGAAAGAGCAGGCCCTCACCCCCTTTGTCAGTGAGGAAACTGGGAGTAGGTGGCAGATGCAGGGTATGTCGGTCTTAGAATCATTTGAGGTGTGATTTAGAAACAGTATGTATTCCTCAGTTTCCTGGTCTTCACCTTCTCCAACTACTGCCTCTCTAGTAAAGCAACTGCAAAAAACACACAAAAAGAGTTCCCAAAAGAAAGAAGGGACATGTTTATCCGGGACAGCAGGCAGTTACTTCACTGATTGATACTAAAAGAATTGATAGTTTTGATAGAAAAATAAAATTTTGATAGGGAAGCAAATTATGCCCACTGCTTTGGCATAGTGGGTTGTTAGTGAATACCATGGAGAGCAGTGGTTCTCAACCTTCTGGCCCTTTAAATACAGTTCCTCATGTTATGACCCAACCATGAAATTATTTTCGTTACTACTTCATAACTGTAATGTTTTGAATCGTAATGTAAATATCTGATATGCAGGATGGTCTTAGGTGACCCCTGTGAAAGGTTCGTTAGACCGCCAAAGGGGTTGCAACCCACAGGTTGAGAACCACTGATCTAGAGGAACAAACCCATTTTTATCCTAACCGTAGGCTTTGCAGATTGATTAAATGATAAAGACTCATTCGCCTTCCCCTTTGCTGTGAAGTTCCATCTTTTTTTTTTTTTTAAATCAGTCACATAAAGTTCAAGTAACTCCCCAAAAGCCTGGAAAAGCTGTCAGAACTGAGCCCAAATTCAGAACTTTCTGGATGATACGTTTTTCCTGCTGTTATTCTTGTTGAAGTGAGATAGTTCTGTTCTGAGAATATTTACAAATCATTAAATTAGATCTTTTTATATGGAAATCCAGATTTCCATTATGTTCTTTTCATTATTTTCTATATTGTGTACATAAGGTTGCAGGTATGATGTATCAGTATTTCCTCCAAAATGGCTTCTACTACAATCAAGTATTCTCAAAAGCAAATTGTTTTTTGAGCATGTCAGTTGAGTCTAGAATCTTGGGTTTTCTAAGAGAGCTGCTTTCTGTAAAGATTTCATCATATGAATTCCATTTCCTGTGCAAATACCACTGCTTTCTTTGCTTGCAAGAAACTAAGGGAAGAAAAGGAGAGAATAAAAGGGGGAGGGGGGCTCCTTTCAGGGTCAAGTTGGCAGCCAAAAATTATTTTAAAAGCATACAAGGACACTTCCATGTTCTTCTATCACTGCTGCACACCATATGGTTACCATATCATTTAGTTGGGATCATTGGAATCAAAGATAAAACTTTTTTTTTCTAATTTTAGTGCTTTTTCTCAAAGGAGACATTAATGACAAAAACCATATGGTTGTGGGAACTCGGGCCTTAATAAGTGCATTCAAACATTGCTCTAACAATATGCATTAAAGTCTTGTTTTCATTAAGCTAATGTAACCCTCAGACCCTCGATTCCATTTTGCATTTATGGAGAAACATTTACTGGAAAGATATTAGACACCATTCTAATTACCTAATCTGGCACCAGAATTAGAGCAAACAGAATTGCTTTGTATTACCATATTTTTTAAATTGAAAGAAGATGTTTATGGAACCACTAAATTAAGCCGAGTGCCACGTGAAAGCCTCTTGTCTTGTGCCATCCGTACATTTAAATTGGAAACTGGAGGCATGCGTGTTTACTATTAATCACTCAGTTGTGTGACAGGGGTTGTATTAAAACATGAAGTTAGGGATCCCCACCAAAATATAGATTAAAGAAAACTCTTTAGTGAAAACAGTCCTAGATACAGCTTCTTTTCTTATAAGCCTCTTCCCCTGTAGACACCAGTTAAAAAGTATAGGTATGCTTTAACCACATCCACCCTCGAACAGTCTCCTTTGCAAAACTTAGATTTAAGTCTGCAACTAAGAAGTTTGTCTCTCTATAACACATAGCCCAAGAGATGCGCATTTTATAACTTGTCTTCAGGGTTTTACTATTTTGTGTGTCTTCAAAATCAACTTTCGTACTGACTATCTTAAGGTTGTTTCTGGCTCAGAGCCCGGGAATGCGTTGCCAAAACACATCTGCACACGAGCTGTCCAGCCTGGGGGTCAGCCCTCCTGATTATCATTCAGGAACTCGTCTCTCTGAGCTGGCGGGACCCGGTCTGCCTGCCTGCTTCAATGTTGCTGGCAGGCTGCACAGAAGGAATCTGAGAGAGCCTGGCGCTGTGGTCCCAACCGAATCTGCTTCACACAGCATGGCCACAGTCTTGTTTGCAGTGTACATGGGAGGGGGGTTTATGATATATCCCAGGTGCCTCCTCTTGATAAGAATGCTGAAGATAATATGAAGAAGGTCATGGGACAGTGTTGATCTCTCCCCAGACCCCCCCTAATTCTGAATCTCATGCTTTGTTAATGAGTACTGGAGATACTTTGTGTTTTTTTGTTTTGTTTTGTCTCCTCCTTTATTAAATCTTTTTTTTTTTAATCTTTGGAATCCTTTGAAACAACCAGGACTAGAGAGGTTTGCAATATATTGTTTTGGACAACTTTCAAATCTTATCCATAGACTTGAGAATGATTCTTAAAACTTTTTAAGTGTTCAGGGGGAATTGCTGTTTTATTATCTATGGATGGCACACAGTGTCTGAGAGCTACCTTCACTAAAGAGCAAACAGAGTTTAAAAATATTTTGAAAATGTATTTATTACCCACATGACCCTCTAGACCAGTGGCTCTCATTCTTCCTAATGCCGCGACCCTTTAATACAGTTCCTCATGTTGTGGCGACTCCCAATTTCATTGTTACAAGTTGAACATAATTAAAGCATAGTGATTAATCACAAAAACAATATGTAATTATAGATGTGTTTTCTGGTGGTCTTAGGCAACCCCGGTGAAAGGGTCGTTCGACCCCCAAAGGGGTCGTGACCCACAGGTTGAGAACCGCTGCTCTAGATTAACTGCAAATGGTTTATTTTTAGCTACAGCATGTGGTATGTGCTAATCTTTAGCAAATATCCTAGTATTTTATACCTTGTGCAGAAACATGCTTTGGCATTCTTAGGAGATGGATCCTTGGTTCATACCTCAGATAATGGACGGAGTTTCAAGTCCAGCCCTGGTGCCTGTCCCTGATAGTGTAGACCCGGGAGCCCATCGCGGAAGGCCGCTGGCACCTCCTGTGTTCAGAAATGCCTTTCAACCCGACGGGCTAACTAATATCCATGGCATCTTGTTCCTACAAATAAGATCCTGGGTTGCAAAGAGATTTAGGTTATGGGTCTCCCCTTGAATTTGGAGAGGTAAGTGTTGTTCTTCACTCTGCCATCTATTCTCTCTGTCCCCCTGCCTCCCCCCAAAGAAGAATAAAAATAAAAGAGAGAGAGAGAAGAAAACACAACAGCCACTTGGATTCACAATGTCAGAGTACGTTTACTTTTTAGAGTGAAATTCCATTTCCGTTTGAACGCTTTACTGTGTGGAATTGTCTCCTTCCCTTTTGTTACATTTGAGATCGCCAGAATTATGTGTCCACAAACATGTTCAGAGAGTCTTTTTCAAGTGCTGGGCTCGGTGAGGAGCAAGAGTTATGGGCACACAGGATTTCTCCTATGAAACTGTATGCAATTTCTAGAATAAGGACGCTACAAAGAAAGCAGATTATTTTCATAGACCACTTATATATGCTTCTTTGTGCATGAATTCCACCCGGGATATCTGACCATACTCTGGGCATTACTTAAATGTACGAATCTGACAATTACTGAAAATAATGTCTACATTCAACTCTATTATCATCATCATCATTATTATTATTATTATTATTATTATTTGAAGTTAGTGGTCGACCAGAGATGTTTCATAGGATTAACCTGTTTTACCTGGGCAAGTTACTAGATACAAAAATGAAGTGTGTATGTATTTCACATACCCTCTGTCTTCCATGAGGAATAAACAAAAATTGCTGATGGATGGAGCCAGAACTTTCTATCCTGGGGGGCTTAATATTATATTAGACTCAGATCAGAAGGACCTTAAAAGTAAATAAGTGCCAATCCCAGGGCTCCCCGTGGTCCTGGCAGCCGGAGGGGGAGGTGGCTCACACAGGTCAGGCACCTCATGCTCGGGGCAGTGCAGGTCAGGGAGCAGCCGACACTGTCGCCCAGCACTGGGACCTGTGCCTGGACACCACACCTCTTGCCTCTATCCCCTCCTGCCCCGCAGGCGAACCTGCCCCTGCTGCAGCGCGAGCTCCTGCACTGCGCGAGGCTGGCCAAGCAGAACCCTGCCCAGTACCTCGCCCAGCACGAGCAGCTGCTCCTGGACGCCAGCACCACCTCCCCTGTGGACTCCTCCGAGCTGCTCCTCGACGTGAACGAGAACGGGAAGAGGCGGACTCCAGACAGGTGAGGGGGAGCGCGGCGGGCTGGCCCGGCCTTGGCCCGGTGCCCGTGGGATGAGGACCTGCTGGTGGGATGTCTAAGCTGACTGCTCACCTGTACCTGTTGCAAACAGCCGTAAGCTAAAGGGTCCCTCCTGGGGACCTCGCTCTGGCCTGGGATGTTACAGAGGGATGACTCTGGCCTGTGTCAGGCTTTTGTGACGCTTCATCTTTGTTGCTTATAATATCAAAGTCAAAGGTGAAGGCCCTGGCCAGGTAGCTCACTCAGTTGGTGAGAACATTGTCCCAATGCGCCAGGGTTGTGGTTTGATCCCCAGTCAGGGCACATACAAGAATCAACCAGTGGATGCATACATAAGTGGAACAACAAACCTCTCTCTCTCTCTCTCTCAGTTTTATAAAACAAGGATTCATGGGAGTATAAATCGAATAACTATTTTGAAGAAATGTCTAGTAATCCCTAGTAATGCTGACTATATGTACATCCTATGGTTTAACAACGATTTCACTCCTAGGGCTATTCCATAAAGAAAACTGCTTCTTTGTGCAACCTAAGGCATGTATAAGAATGTATATAACAGCATTTTATAATAAGTAAAAAAAACTATGGGGGGCAAACCCAAATTATTATCAACAGAGAAATGCATAAATGAAATAAGCTAGATTTTTACAATAGAACCTTATTGAGCAGTTAAAAGAAATGTATTAGAATCTCTTAAGTGAGTAAAAGTAAACTGCAGAGGGAAGAAAACTATAAGAATATTAAAAACATAAACAATAATGCTGTGTATTCTTTAGGGACTGATTTATCAGTAGTAAATATGAGATGCTCATGAATGATAGTGTGAAGTTCAATAAGTGCTTACCTCTGAAAAAGTGTATACTTTAAAAAATAAAATTATAATCCATTTTACCTACCCATATGCCCATTTATTCAGATATGTAATATATATTTTCAGAGCTTCTTTCTTGTCCTACTCTTGTTCTAAGGGCTAGCAGACCTGGAAAAGAAGAATGTAATATATCCCTCGTCCCCCAAAGACAGCCTCATGG